TCGTGATACTCAGTACTGTGAATCTTTTCTAAAACATTCAAAAAAACCATGTTCCATATACCAAATATGCATTTCACACAACTAATTCACAAATTAATATACGGGGTATAAATTTTCTCAAATAAGTATTAAATTCTAGAAGCGCTGCTATCCAAAAACAAAAAAAATCCAAGAATTAATAAGAAAAATTTGTTTTTAGATAGCAACGCCGGTTTAACGAATTCTTACCTATTTATATACAAAAGTCCGGACAGATATTGAGACAATGTTGAGAAGATATTCCAAAAAAATTGTCTTAAAATTAGAAAAGTACAATTTACAGTCTGACGGTTCTTTACCAAAAACGTGACCATCGAGTGATGTCATTAATCAAAAAGGCGAAGGTATATACTTCGTCGAAGTGCTGGTTATTCTTGATGGAACACTTGGCTTGACCCCCCTTCAACAAAAAACACAAATCAGAACTCATGCCTAGTACCGACCATCAGGAATATTTCTATTTTAAATTCAATAAGCTCCCTCTCTGTCACTGAGGCCAACATATATAAATTTATAGGCGGGTCAAAATAAACAGATGTTTTCTATGGGCAAAGCCAATGTGAAAAATCACTAAGTTTGTCAGAAATTTTACTGTGTTTCAACAGGAATTTAGATTGGGTTTCATCCAGCTCATCGGTAACCCATCTTATAAGTTATAAATTTTGACTATATACTTCAAAAAAACAAAAATACATGAATTTCAAATGAGATTATACTTGCTTCAGATGACGTTTCAGGAACCAGCTTTTTATCTTTCTCAGACTTATAGAAAACACCTAAAACTGCATGAATGTCAAATATAAAATCTTTCATCTCTTTCAGCTACTTTTNTGTTATCAATTTTAATCAACTAATGGGTCAGTGTATTCAAAATCTGATGATTTTGAATCTATTAATTATCTGCGAGCGCTTTCGACAGTTGGTAGTACTGTCATCGTCTAGGCACTCCTAAAAGTTATAACAAATGTCAAAACGCTGTGAGTGTCCGAGCTCACCTAAAAATTTTGACATGTGGGCCAGCCTCTCCTTTCCAGTTTTGTTAAGTTTACCAGAGAAATTTCGAGCTAGTACTGAACTTGTGTATTGTGAAAAAGTATTGTTAAATCGACTTATTAATTATATTTTAATGATTGGAGATTTTATTATCTGAGATAAAAACAACTCTCTTTCCTACTTCAGCTCCAACTTTGACTACAGTTCAGACTCCGTTTTAATAAATTGAATTTGAAATCTCGGGGTGTGATTTCAGATCGAGTTAACTAACCCACCTCCGTAACATCCCTAATATACACCCAGAATTTTTTTAGCAAAATTTTGATTTTTGAGAAGTGAGTCATCAAACTTACTGATGTGCATTTAGTTACTTTTATTGCCTTCCATATATACTAATTTTTGGTTCCTGAGAATAAAAATGGTGACCTGACTTTCTTACTTGGATCAACTTAAATTTTATACATTCACTCACCTCTGCTAAGCATATCTGGTTTCCCTTCAGGTATGCCAGGGCGCCTGTCATCCCTCAGCGGCGGCCTGAAGTGTGGGCTTCTGTCTCGTCCTGTTTCTCTATCATCAAACCTTACGTCTTTCGGTCTCGGGGGCATGTCTCTTCTACTTCGCGCATCCCTGTTGTTGTCATAAGGTCTCCCTTCATATTTGCTAGAGCTGGGACTGGCCGATGGTCTACCGAGGGCAGAAGATCGAGAAAGTTCATAATCACGGCCACGTTTGTCGGGGTATGAAGCATCTCTCTTCGAGTCATAAGGTGAACGAGGTTTATTGAAAGAGTCTTTGGAACCACTAAATTTTTTCGGACTTGGTTCTCGAGGTTTCAAGCTACTGAAAAAATTAGTTGACTCAATCGGTTTTATGAAAATGAATTTTAACCGAATCGTTAAGGAAACTACCATTTAGTATCTTCAAATTTGGTTTTTATTTTGTTTTGATTTTTCAACCAGCCAATTAAAGTTTTCAAATAATAACCCCAGTTGGGTCAACGAATGAATACACATGCATCAATCAATTTGTTCTTTCAATATGATTTGAAAAACTTATCAAAATAAAACAATGTACCTACTGCTCGGAACAACCTAACTTTTTAATGAAGAATTGCGCTCATTTTTGTTAAAACTCACGTTTGTATAACTATCTCTCTTCGATGTACCAAGTGCAAACATCCAAACAAGAGCTTCCACTGAATGAAAGCAAACCTTTGGTGTTTTTTTGTTTTAGAAGGAAGTTACATTGAAATTTGTATTATCACGTATTTTCTCAGCTCAAAGTCTAGTTGCAAAACAAAGTCCACATGCATTCTCATAAGCATGAACTCTTGTACTTTCGTAAGTTGTTTTTTTACACTATTATTTGTAAGAATCGAATAGAAATATTAGTCTGAATTTCTATAAATTTCTCTTGAAATATATGGCAACATGAGAATATCAAAATAGATTATTTATAGTATGCCCAAAAGCAGATCTAACTTTAGTTTTAGTAACTAGCGAACCACCCCGGCTTCGCACAGGTGCAATGCTCATACTAAATATAAGTTCACCAACCAGAACCTGCATACAAAATTCCAGCCACCGAAACAGTGATTAAAAAATAATTTTTTTTCATGGACACACCATTTTCTGAACGACTGGCGTCTCAGTTGGATATTTGAAAATTATTTCTTATTGCATATCTACATATAATGAACTGACATACAAAATTTCATCCTCAGAAAATATAGCGGTACGGAGAAACAGTGATGAAAAGGTAATTTTCATATGTAAACGTGCGTGCCCTTTTACCCCCGGTAGGGGGCCACAGTAGAAATATTTGAAAATTCTTAGTGTGCATCTAAGACCTAAGAAGCACCTATATACCAAATTTTAGCTTCCTAGGACTCATCAATACATAGAAACAGAGATGAATGGGTGTGTTAAGTGGGTGACTTTCACATTTTCAAGTATATAATCCTGATGATACAAACTTGGTTAGCGAAACAGGTCTCGAGAGATAGTGTTTTGTTCTGGTATTTAAAAGAATATTCATTATATCCATTTTATGCCGAAGTTTCAAATTGTGCCTATCAAATCATAACTATTGTTTGTGAATCTTTGTTTAAACACTAAGGTGGTCATCAAATCTATCTCCATAAATATTAGCCACACCTTCAACCATTTCTATCTTCTATCATTCTAAAATTATCTCCAATTAGAAAATGATAACTGATGCTCAATCTTATCAGCATAAAATTACTTTTCTTCAGCTTAGTCTAAATACTCTAAATGGACTTAAAAAGTATTTGTGCATTTCCACTGTTCAACTATTGTTGCCCTAATTATAGACCAGTATCAAGTTATCATTGTGACAGGAAATTTTTAATTTTTCAACAACCCTTAAAATACAAATATTACCAATTCAGAAAGTCATAAAATTATGAATAAAAGTAGAGGAATGCATGTGAGCTGTGTTCAAGAGCTGCATTTCTTGGATTACAATTATTACAATTTTAATTGATAGCAAAATTACCATCACTAATGAATCCAACAGTATAATTGAAGATAAAGCATATATAATTTATGCCCTGTAACTTTGTGAATCAGATATGATTCAGACATCTTATAGTTTAAAGTCAGTGAAACATAATAAAGATAATTCAATACATAAATGAATCAATAACCACTGTGGCTCTCCTCTATAACTGGATATATGGGAAGTAACATATTTACACTTCAAGTCGTCAGTATATCGAATAGACCGCGACTAATTCGGTAATTTTTTTTTTTAATTCTAAATGATTTCTAAAAAATGTTATGAAAATCTTATCATACCTCGGGGGTGGAGGAGCGTCATTGTAATGCCGGTCTGGTGCAGACCTCTTCCTATCATCGAAACCATCATCTCTGCGGTACGGAGCCGGTCTTTTGACAGCTCTTCTCTCCTCGTCCAATCTTTTCAGAGTTCTTTCCAATTCCATCTTCTCAATGGCGATCTTTTCGCGTTCCAATCGTTGACGTTCACGCTCCAATCTTACCAGATCTGCCTTTTCACGTTCGATTTTCTCTCTTTCCATACGTAGTTTTTCTTTTTCTCGTTCAAGACGATGTGCTTCCATGCGCTGACGTCTTTCTACGTCTTTCTGACGCGAGGCTTCTTCGTGCCGGCGGCGAATCTCCTCACGTAACATCCTCTCCTTATCGCGAAGTCTTTGACGTTCCCTTTCCTCCTAAAACCAAGAAAGCCAAACATTATAACCCTACTGACAATTCTGTTGGCGATGGCCATTCAAAAGAAAATCGTAACAACCTTTAGATCTACCGGGCATGTGTTATCATTTTAAAGACCGAAACTACTTTGTTGATTTTTAATTTGCTAGAAAACTTCTTCTTCTCAAACATATCCTAAACCCAAACTTTCGTTTTATAACTATATGAATAAAAGAGTCAAAACTACTTTACCCTGATTTTATCAAATGTAAGAACATCACGTTCATGGTGTCCCCTTGAAGTGGAACGAATTGAATGCCTTTCCCTATCTCCAGATCTTGTTCTTCTGTGTCTATCATGAGGCGACTGAAAAAAAGAAAATAATAAATACAAGTTCTACTTTCCCTAAATTTAGGCAACTAACCCTCTTGGCGTCAGATCTGCCAGACCTGGATGCATTCCTGCTGTGTCCTCGACTCCTGTCTCTTGATTTCCTGGCAGAAGTCTCATCTTTTTTCTCAACACTTTTGTTCTGTTCACCTCCCTCTTTACTTTCATCTTTTGATGCATTCTGGTTACTTTCACCTTCTGGTTTGTCTTTAACCTCAGCCTCATCTGTTTTTTTCTCTTCTGCTTCAGTCTTAGTAACATCCATTTTTTCGTCCTTGTCATCCTTTGCGCCTTCCTTTCTGGGTGATCTTGATCTTCTTCTGGGAATTTTATCGTCCTTCTGAAGGGGTCGATTTGCTGCAGCAGCTGCTTTCATTTGTTTCATTTGCTCTTCTCTCACGTTGTCAAACTATAGTTGTTATAACAAATACTATTTCATTTAACTAGTGACCATTATAAAATGTCTTAAAATTTCTCAAGTCTCCGAAAATTCAATTCTAAAAATGCTACTACATTAATTTCAACACTTTCTCACCTTATCGATCTTAATAATTTGTCCATTTAGCTCAGTGTTATTCAGTTTGGTAATAACACTCTCAACGTCTTCCACAGAACTCATCGTAACATATCCAAAGCAAGACGATCCTGGAAATCTTGCGTTAACCACTACCTTAGCCCCAGTTACTTTTCCACAAGCAGATAGAGCAGCTTTCAATTCACTGGCACGGGTATTTTGGGCAACATTACTGATCCAAACGACGTTGGGGTTTGATTTGATGCCGATTTTCTTTTGCAATTTGTTGCCTCCAGTTTTAATACTAGAAAATATGGAACAGAATAGGAAATTACTGGATTTTTAATTGCATACAGATCTTAAGGCTCACCATAATTGTATACCGTTTCTCACAGAAAATGCAACTGTTTTTAATAATGCCTAATGTTTCAATTGAAAATCAATATGAGGTGTCCACGGTATGCAATTCTTCAGTGAATATTTTTCTAATAACTGTGATTTCAAAAAATCTCCATTGAATAATGCCACAAAATTTCATAACAGACAACCACTTTCTATAAAGAGGTCAAATTATGTAAGAAAGTTAATAACTTACTACTGGACAAATGTTACCACAGCCATAAGGAATATTTAGAGGATACTTAGATAGACGAATAATAACATTTTTAATCGCTGCAATGTATTGTATTTTGCTTCAGTTTCGGTGTTCTGACTGACGATTTTTTTTCTCATATATTGCAGCCGGCAAAATTGCCACATTTTCAATTATTATTTCATATGTGTATATGTAAGTTGCCGAATGTGTATATCTGTGTATATGCAAATATAAATTTCAATTTTTTAAAATCAAGTTCAGTAATTTTTGATTGCAGTTATTCATTCAGAACCTAGCATCCAATAAATAAAGAACCATTAGATGCCATAATTTCTTACTGTAACGGTCTATTCTATAACCCGACAACATCTTGTCAAATTCATCTATATGGATTGTAATCAGATACAGGAAGAAGACATTGTATGACATTTCTACCGATTTTTTTTCTACAAGTCACTTCACGGATTTCCTCAGGATCATGGAAGTTGAGAGGGTGTGCACTGATCTGTCTTTCTATTTCAACTGACTTTCTCCATAGGTTTCTGAACTCATACATTTATCTACCAGAATTCAAACCTCAAGATACGATTTGTCAAATAGAATATTTGTTCTTCAGACAATAATGAATATTTCTCTCTATATGTCTCTCTTTCTATCATCTGCTGGAGATTTATACAACTTATTACCTGAGTGTACCGAAAGACTTTTCTGGAAGGCTAAACATTCGATGAAATTGTTAATTATGAACAATTGAAATAAATTATTTGAATTTGAATTTCTAAGCATTCGAATATAGATAGATGTTAGAGGTGTGCAAGCAGAAATATATTTGCCTCTGGCATAGGAAACTTATCGCCAGTGGCAAATCAAGCTGATTTTTCACATGAACTACTAAGAATTTCAACATCCTCATTCTCTGTAGTAGCTCCTCTTGTAATGTATCTACCAAAAAGACTGGAAGACTAATCTTCCTTTCTTAACGACATACTACTTCAGTTTTTTGACAAATTATCCGCACGAAACCTAAATGACACTTTGACACAAGATCTGCTGTCAATGAATTGCGGTTCCCAAATGTACAATGTCATGAAAGACAAATTCAAACTTGCCAACTGTTACCTCTATTCTCCAATAGACAGCTTCTAAGGTAATTCCAAAATTTGACCATTGCCACTTAGTATTACTCAAATTGGCGGTCATCACCTTTAACATCATGACTCAGAGTTGAACATGAGTAAATTTTTTCAATTCTTCTTGATTAGTTGACTTTTCATAGTAATACTGATTTTTGAAATAGCAAACTTGTCATATGCCTGAGGACACCTCATATTTAAAAAAGGCAAAATATTTAGTTTTTCTTAAAAAATTACATCAATGTTGAAGTACAATCCAAGTACTTAGGGCGAAGCACTAATGAATTTTCATTACGTTGGGTATTTTTTTTTCGATCCAATTCACCAACAATACAAAATATGCGGTTTTTCCTTCTACACAGTTGATCCACAACTTTCACTATGAAAGTTCTTCTTGGCAGCTTCTTACCTTTTTGTTCATCAATTTGCATCACCATCAAATGAACCATCAGGTTTGCCATTTCCAAACCATTTTAGTCTATTAGCACTTCATCTTAACATTTCTGAATGCACTTCAAGTTGCATAATAATCTGTTATTCTTTCACTAACACATGAAGCGGCCATAATCACAAATATTCTTCATCACCATTATGACCAATAAATGCATTTTCTAAGAAAGACTGTACACAATTGCCTAGCATACACCATTCATCCAAAAATGACTCTAAATTATTAAAATAAAAAAATGAACAATACTAAAGTATAAACGATAACCTTCCGACAGAAGTTTCCATGAAGATATTTTTTACCTTTACTGCCTTACCACCATATTTTCTTTAAAATTTGTTTAAAAACCTGTTCAAGAGTAAAGACTCATCATTATGCTGCCTTAAATTCGGTCAATCTCTTTTGGAGTAAGTGCGCCTTTGAGCTTACGAACTTGATGAAACGGTCTGCCTCTTCTTGTTCAACCACCTCGCGGATTTCTGCAGCTATCCCTTGTGCCTCAATATGTTGTGGGTCTCTCAATCTTTGAAAAAAAGTGGACCTGGAATTCAGCTCTATCCTCTACTTTGACCAATCAAGATGTTTCTTTCATGATGTCAACAAATGTCCTCTTGACAAAAATTTCTGTGCTTTTTTTATTTCCGGCTCAAATTTCTGAGTAGGTCTAGGTTGATACAGTTTGATCCAATATACAAACAGTTCCTCATTATGAATATATCCATTCAAATATATATTTATCTTTAGGCAGCATTTGATGAGCTTTCTTCTTTCTTTCATAAAAAGTAGACGTTCAAAAACCAACCTAACAGATTCTCCTGTCCCCTTGTTTCCATCATTAGTAACTTTGGCACCTTCAGATTTCTCTTCAGACTTGGATTCCGGCTGCGACGACGGTTCACTCTTCTTATCTACAGGAAGAAATGAAATCGATGTCATATATGATATTTAATAGGATATTTCATCCAATCCGAATTCTATGTGTACCACAACTCCGATAGTTGATAATTTTGTACATGAAAAAATAATAATGTATTAAACAACAATAAGATTCCTCAGGAACACTGCACTTTTTTAGAAAACACATTAAAATCATGCACGATTGGGACCGCCAATCAAAATTAGCGCTTTTTTTAAAAACAAACTATAAAACTAATTGCATATATGTTAAAATTTTCACCTTGAAGAATTTTACGATACATGGCTAGGACTTCTAATACATATGATCGATCACTTTCTTATCATCCAGGACTCTGTAAAAATCTTAGATACTATATTCTTGTGCCAGTACATTCATCTTCCTCCAGTGAGTTGAACATTTCCTCTTCTTACAAATAACATTCAGGAACACGTTAATCCCAAATAGTATTGAGAGTTTGGCGATTCGAACCAAGGAATGTTCTTCTTGTCTATTTCCATAGGAAGTTTCTTCAGGAGTTGAAATTCTGTTTCTTCTTGATGTCTTAATTTTTGTTATATATATATGCAATTAGTTTTTAAGTTTTATCTCTTTCCGCAATTGATGAATTTATATTTTATAACCGTGTTTTATTAACTTTTCTTACCTTCGGTTTTGTCTCCTGCTTTGGATTTACGTGCGGATTCACTCTGAAAATTGAAACCAATAAGTCAGATTATTTTTTTCAATAAAAAGATTTTGATATTAGATCAAGACACCACTTGAAATTTACGCCAAATCAATTTTGAATTTAACGGTGCAAAGATGTATTCTACTTGGGTAATACTGTGAAAATAATTAAAATATTCACCAGTGACCATTGTAGAAATTACTATAGGCCTTACTTTGACTAGATATGTTCAGCAAGAGATATACCCAGCTTCGAAAGGGCCTAATACCACAAAACTGTGCCGTAACTGAAATGTTATTCTCTTATCCACTAACCTCAGTTGTTTCAATAAGTGATTCATCATCTTCCAATGTAAGACGTATAGGTGACTCATGGCCTTCGTGCTCTTCCTTCCCAGCTTTCTTCCCATTTTCAATATTGTTTGCCTCTACTTTCTCAGCAGTTGCAGAACTTGATTTGTTGTCAGTACCTTCTTTTTTATCAGCATCTTCTGTTGGTTTCTCATCCTTTCTAGCTTCATTAGTTTCACCGACTTCTGTATCATTTTTAGCCTCTTCATCTTGTTTAGCAACATCTGCTGACGTTTTATTTTCCTCCTTGGAATCATTTTCTTGTTGTTTTGTTTCTATTTCAGCCTGCTGGTCAGATTTCTCTACCACTTTCATCTCCTTCTCAGATTTATCTTCCTCAATGCCTTCTACAAATAAATCTGAAAATAATAACTTAGGAAACACACAAAATTTATACTTACGAGTGGAGGGTCTTCTCTTGTCAGATATTTCAAACACATGTGTCTCAGGGTCCAAACCCTCATCAGCCATTGCCTAGAAAGAAGAATGTGTACCTATGTAGAGAATTGAATGATATTTTGAAGGAACTGATCCTCAAATTATTGGGAAGCTATCTTCGCAAAACGATCAATTGACAAGATTTCTGTCAGAAATTTCTCGCTTATTAAATTTCAATATTTCATCATTATTTATTTATTTATTTATCGGTCAAGTACACTACATAATTATTATAAAATCCCAAATGGTACGTCAAGAAAGTTTCAATTGTTGAAACCAGTCAAGCATTAGAGTTCAGTTATGAACCCAACAAGTAAAATCCATAATATAACTATTATAATTGCTTAAAAATTTAACTACAATTGCTAACAAGAATTTTGAAATATTTATATAAAGGTAGATTAGATAAAATTAGGTTATCTGCCACTTCAATATTTGCACATTGACCTATGTATACATATATTTTAGTGACCGTCGATCACTAAATGCAGATATATTTTCAACAACTACGTTATAGTGTAATATAGTTTGATATAGAAATTCAACTACAATACAGTCATGTATCATTTCAAAAATTTATTTCCAAAAAACGCAGTATTATGACAGCAAACTCAAATAGAACACCATAAACAACTCAACTTATGCTTGCTGAACACATGAAAACTCGTTCGTACTCGAATTACAGGATATTTTCAACAGCATTCAATTCCAATTAACTGAAAATATAAGTGAGGTAAGTGAGGGATTCAGGGTATAATAACCGCATAAGAAATGGATAAAAGAATCGGAGGGGGATTTGGGGTTAGCGGTCAGTATTTTCTTATACTGGAATTGAACCTACTATCAGGGTAACTGTTTAGACCAGGTGGAGGAGGACATATGGGACCCATTGGTGAGTTGCTAGAAAATGGTCTGGAGCCCATTGGAGGACCTAGCCACCTGGAAAAAAGAATATTCCTAATAATGACAATTCCACAACAGTGAGGATATCACAAATAATAAAATTATTCAACTGCTAATTTCTCTGGTTTTACTGACAATATGGTTCTAACAAGATGAAAAATAATTTTGAGGACAGTTAAATAGACTTATATGTTTTGGATTATACAAGACAAGAGGCGTGACAGGTGCTGAGAGTTGTTAATAACAATAGGAAAATGTAGGATTAGTTGCTGGGAATCGAAAGGAAAACCTCATCAATCCTTAGCACCAACAAGTTTCAACTTCTGAGAGTTATCGTTAGTAAGAGGGTGACAGCTATAATGAAAAAGCACATTGAAGAGTTTAACTCTTTCACTTCCAATATCATCAGCTCATTTATAACATAATTTTTTCTGCTTTATTCATTTTTGACTTCATTGAAATTTTTCATAACATTACCCAATGTCATCCAAAAAATTTGTCTGACTCGATAAAATGTGCAACTCTGGAAAACATGATTATTTATGAAATAGTAGATTTTTCTTGATCACAAATTACTTAAAAATCATGCCATCTTCAAATTGAAGTTCTGAAATTTCAAGACATTACATTATGATAATTATTTTGGCAATACAAATTTTCATTTTATTATAATTACACAAATTATTTCGATATTCTTATGGATATTACTGTTTGTATCGATATTCTTATCGATATTACTTTTTGTATCGATATTCGATGTTCAAAATGTTTATCGATAAGCCCATCTCTACA